AGTACACTGCTGAGGGGAGCAGCGGGCGGGTCAGGAGAGGTCTGCCACACCATGTGGGTCACCTCTGGGGCAGGCAGGAATCGAACTCATGGGGAAGTGGCTTCAGCTTCTCAGTGCTGTGCTTTAACCCGCTGCGCCACCAGGGAGGGCCAGGTTTTTAATTTTTAAAGAAATAGCACATAATAAAGAGAAAGACTAAGGAATTGCAAGTACAATGATGTTTATACATCAGAAGACCCCATTAAAAGAATGAGGAAATTTGACTGGAAGAAGGTATTTACTTGGAGAGCATTCACTGATACAGGATTTGTATCCAGAAAATAAGAATCTAGCCACTCAGTAGAAAATTGGCCATTCCGAGTGGAGAGGTCTGCTGTGCCTGCTGTGCCGTGTGGTTCACCTCCCTGGCTGGGATTGGATTGAACTCCTGCTATAGTGGCTGGCAGCGGCTTGATAGTGCTGAGACTTTAACCCCTGCGTCACCAAGGAGGCCCTCGACTTCATTTTTTATGCCATCTCTGATCCATTAAAAATAACTACCTGTAAAAAAGTGACTCCCTGGAGTTCTGGGTTGGTAAGGACTCAGGAACGTCTACACTCAGCAAGGGAGACCGCTGACCACTGGGCTAGGTCTGGCACAGGGCAGGGCCTGGGGCGTTGTTGTGTAAATACAGCATTAAAGTTTACAAAACCTCTTACATCAGTCTGTGAATCGTGGTTAGATTGAAGGAACTTTCATGTTCTTTTGATGGTATTGTGTGTTTTCTACATTTTTGACAGTGGATATCTATCTATTACTTTAATAAGCAGGGGGGGAAACACTGTTATTTTGAAAAGAAACTTCCTACATGAATGAAACCAGTCATTTGAATGTGATATATTTTGCAGCGGTGCTTGGTCCTGCTGCGGGGCTGTGAGGTTGCAACATGCGTAGCAAGGACCTTGGCCTGCTTACTCTCTTTTCCTTTTCTGTACCTCAAACAATCCTTTGACCGTGGGCCATAGTTGTTGCTGTGAGGTAGAACATGGGATGGCTGATTGTTTTTTTGTCTTCTGCTTTGGCAGGTCGAGGTGGTGCCTCTATCTATGGCAAACAGTTTGAAGATGAACTTCATCCAGACTTGAAATTCACAGGTAAGTCTATAATCTGGCTGGACTAGGTGGGAAGAGGGGAGTGGATTTTAAAAGCTTGTTCTTTGGCTATGATTCAAAGTGAATGCCTGACACCGTGGCCCAGTGCCATGTCCCTGTCCTGCTGTGGCGCCACAAAGGACCTCGGTGGATTAGAGAGAGAGACGCCTCTTTGGCGAGTCCTGAGCAATTTAGAGTGCTGGTCTGAGCAACCTAACTTGTTTATTGAATGTAGATGATAGAGAATATAGGAAAACAAAGAAGCAGGAGACCTTGCTGGGGCTTTGAGGTGAATCTGGGATATGGCCCAGCACTGGCAGGAATCATCATGGATAGAGGCTGGGACAGGTGAGGTCCGCAAGGCAGTGCAGCCGTGACCTCTGCCGGGGCAGAGAGTCTGCCCTGAGGGGAAGGCTCCTTTCTGGCTTCTTTTCATCCCACAGACATATGGCAGCTCTGGAGTGGAACTGTGGAGGTTGCTCATACTCTTTCCTCTCCTCTTTTTTTCCTACCAGGGGCTGGAATTCTTGCAATGGCCAATGCGGGACCAGACACCAATGGCAGCCAGTTCTTTGTGACTCTCGCTCCCACGCAGTGGCTTGATGGCAAACACACCATTTTTGGTCGCGTGTGCCAAGGTATAGGAATGGTGAATCGAGTAGGGATGGTGGAAACAAACTCCCAGGATCGCCCTGTGGACGATGTGAAGATCATCAAAGCGTACCCTTCTGGGTAGACATGCCGCTCTTCTGGGCACACTCGGGTCTTCTGACCAGCGCCAGCGAATCAGCTTCCAGATCACCTAGAATGGCTCTGAGCTGCGTTTTGGCCTTGCAAGTCATGGCACAGGAGGCCTGGGTCTTGGGAGAGTTAGAGATGGGAGCGTATTTTAATAGGGAGCCTCCTTTCCCCTCCCCCAGTGCCTCGTTGGCAGAACATTTGCAGAAGTACCCGTGCACAATCTTTTGCGGATTACTGCTCATCGCCAGTGACCCTCACCGCTCCTCCTTGTTCATGTCTGTTCTGATAAGCTTGGAACAAGATGAAGTAGGCTGTCATTTCGCCATGCCTAACCAAACTTCTTCCTGTGGAGATTTATATTCTGGCCTACCCTGCAGTCTTTGGTGGCTGACAGCAACAGAATTCAAAATCAAGCAGTGTCTATCAGCCTTCTTAACTCTGTGCAGTCCTTGTCTCCAAATCCTGTATTTGTTCTTCCAGGGAATGTGTACATCTCTCTATATATTTTCCCTCTCAAAACCAGAACATCAACACTGCTGTTTCTGACACGTCGACATCCCACGCAAAGCCACATTGAATTTTTGCCAAGTGAAAATGCATCCAACAATCAAGTTTCTAAGAAGGTGTCAAGTGGGGAATGATAATATGTAATAATCGAGAAGTGAATTTATTAAAAGGAAGCAGAAGCATGGGCCATTTTTCCCATAAGGAGTAGAACTTTGTAATGAGCTTGAGGGCAGAATGTGACTTCTTAAAAAGCAGTATTCTCATAAAGGAGGGGCACAAACTTATGTTGGGTTTTTGTTGTTGTTGTTGTTGTTGTTTTTATATAACAGAAGACTTTAGGGGAGTTAGATAAAAGATTTTATGGGGTTTTGTTTTTTAAATCTTTCTGATTGGGGGGAAGGTAAAAAAAAAAAAAAAGGGAGTTAATACCTGTGTAATATTTAGAAGCTTCCAAAATAAAATTTCACTGATGGTTGAAATCTCTGCTGTGATCTGATTTTAAATATTGTATGAGGCTCTCGCAACCATTTGAACCTCTGAGCCTCTTCTAGGAATATTGCAGGCTCATCTTCAAGATTTCACACTATTTTAGTTCTGTGGCTCTGCAGTGGACTCCTGCCATGCGTGAATAGGTCTGCCTTTTAAAGGGAAAGAACCCTTTCCAGAGAAAGGGTACTTCACCAAAGAAAGAATGCGACGAGTGGCATTATGAATGAGGGGAAATCATCTATAGATTAATTAGGTGAATGTAATAGGAGACCTAACCCACCCCTCAAACTTGCAAGAGATGTGCATTGTTTTGGGCTGAGAGACAGTATGTGTTGTGATTGCTTTCTTAGACTGGTAGCATCTTGATTGAAGAGGGAATTACAGCTTTAATGTTCCATATTGCTCTAAACATTTTGGAGCTGGTGACTTCCTTTATGAAACAGCCAAACCACCTCATTCTCCATTGCTCTCTTTGTTGACAACAAAAAGCCGTATCTAACAACAAACTAAGTAAATGACTGACTTTTCATAGATGGTTTTGGGGTACACAGTAGCTTTCTACTGACTTTTCATAGATGGTTTTGGGGTACACAGTAGCTTTCTAAATTGTAGGGAAGTAGAAAGTACATTTCTTTTAGCCTGGATGGTTGCACATAATTGGTTCCACCTCTCAGAACAAGGTATAAAACACACACTATTCTGCTCACCTCCTAGAATTACAGTCTTGAAAATCCCCACTTTCACCTGGATCCTGACGGTGGCAAAAATATATCATCACTACTTTGGGATGTAAGGTTTTGACTAGTACAAGCACTGTTCCTTTCCTCTAGAAAGACATACCAAGCATGCAAACATGATCATAACTGCAAAGTGTACATCAGATTTTCATACAGGATGAGACCTCGAAGAGTAAAACTTGAATTGCTCCACAATTCTAGTGATTCTGTGAGTTAGCCAGAGGTGAGAAATTCCTATTTGCATGGAAAGGGCACTTGTTTAAAAGGAATCCTGGTTATTAATCCTTTTGTGCGTATGAGGGTCTACACCCTCTCAGGAGTACAACGAGGACATTCCTTATAGAAGTGGGGCATGAAATGAGAACTCATTTCAGTTACATCTCAGATCCAAAGTGAGGGTATTTAGGAGGAGAAGGCAGGGATGAGTTCATAACCTAAAGAAAGATTAATGAAGGTAGGTTATGGGATTGCTGGAGCTAATGAAGGAGCAGGAGAGGTCAGCTTGAGTGAGAAAGGTGAGATAAGTCTTGGGGAGAAGGGTGGGATAAGACTGGGAGAAGATGAAGTTAGTAACAATGTCATTGCCTGATGGGGCAGGAAGTTTAGCACCCAGACAATAAAGGGCCCCAGCCCAGGGGTTCTCACACTTAAAGAATTACTGGGGGAAGGGAACCTACTAGAAGCAGAGCTGGATTCATGTCAGCCAGCTGGGCAACTGGCTGGTCCAGACATCAGACTTGGAGTAGAGAGATCCTAGGGGCCATGTTTCTTCAACATAAATTGGGGAGACAGGATTTTCCGAAGAACATGGGGCAGAGGGACCCCAACTTGAAATTCTTCCTGGGCCAGTGGTGACCTTGGAAGAGTGAAGAAATTGAAAGCACTGGATGAACTTTAACAACTCCTCCTTTGGCTGCTAAGACAGAGCTTCAAGGACTAGTGTCCTGCTTTCCACTCTTAATTAAGTACTCTGGCTATCAGGCCTTGGACATCAGTGGGCATTGCTCACAATCAGTGAGACTGCTATGTGGGCCCTAGCACGGGTAAGATGGTATGATTAGAAATTACAGAAATGCAGGTGAGGTGTCACCCACAATCACAACACTGAAGGAACAGGGCCTGCATTACACTGCGGGGCTCGGATCTCAGCTTCCCTGCTTGGAAGCAGTGTAATGAACATGTTTCTTAATTCCTCTGCGCCTTAGTTGACAGAGCAGATGAATGGTCCAAACTTTGTAGGGCTATCGTAGGGATTATGTGGGCCAGAACATTCGAAATCAACACACACTGCCCCTGCCTCTTCATCCCACAGCTTCTCCCACCAGGCTAACCTCTGAGCAGAGATCTTGCTTTATTCCCTTCTGGGTGTCTCCTCAGTGCCTTAGGCAATTCTTTAAGGTTGATGTTAAATGAATGAAATAAAATGTTTTCTGTCAGGAAATGATCGAAATACATGTGCAGAAATAGCTTTATTTCAAGTCTCCAAACCCCAGCTTCAGCTGGTATGGCAGCAAAGTTTTTCCACTGAGCCCTCTGAAAGTCCTCAGTTTGGTTTATTTTTGGATTGTGTCTCCAGAATATGTCAAAATAGCTTCCTCCCAGCAAGGAAAATGATTCCTACCCGCAGCTCCTCAAGCCAATCAGTTGTCACTGTGTCCTTGGACCCCAGATTCTTGCAACAAAAAGCACATTTATTTAAGTGGTCATGTTTGCTGCCCATGAGGCTTCTCATGGCCTAGAGGCCTGTTGCCTGTAGAGCAGGTTACTATAGATAAATGCCAGGATAGGTGATCTCCCAGCAACTTTTCCTTTTACAGATAATTGAGAAGGAAAATGCAGGGTAAGAAAGCATGTTAGGGGGAATTCTAAGGTTGGCTTGGTGTGGTTTAGAAACAGGATCCTGTGTTTTTCATCATCCTTAATTGTACTTGAATCCACAGAAGATGAGTTTTAGGCTATATTTGTGAACAGAGAGCTAGGTGTGAGCCCGTTGTGTGACCTTGGGCAAGTCATTTGCCCAAGAAGAAAATTGGTACTCAGTTTTCTTCAAAGATTAGGACTAACCCAGGTTCAGCCGTCCATTTCTGAGCCTGGGTCTTTCTGAAATTCCTTCAGCATGCTATTTGGGAAAGTTGCCGCTAGAGGCCGCTGTGAATACAACTTAGCCTTGCAGCTTCTTTGAAAGATAGAAGCCTTCCAATTCCTTTAATGATTTTACTAAGTCAGAACCGTTCCCCTTGGGTGTTGAAAAACAGCAACTGCTCAGACTGTGAGGGACCAAATTTGAGATGTCAGCCTGGCACCCAAGGGGCCTAAGAAGACTGTCAGGACATGCTGGCCAGCCCTCTCGTATGTAGTGGGCGGGATAGAGGAAATGAAGGGTAACTATGTAGGGTAATGTCAGACTAGCCCTTATGATGGAGTCAGAGCTCTAGTTTGCCTCATCATGAACTAATTCCCTCATAGCTACTTATGATGCCACCTTGCAGTTGAATTCTTTCAAGAAGCAGCTTGGGAGATACCCCCCTCTTTTTTTTTTTTTAAAGATTTATTTATGCATACAGGAACTGGGGTACAGGCCAGAGGTGTTGGGGTGAGAGGATTCACCAGAGACAGACTTGGGAGCAGGACAACAAAGTACACTGCTGAGGGGAACAGCGGGAGAGACAGGAGAGGTCTGCTGAGCCATGTGGTCACCTCTGGGGCCAGAGACCAAACTCGAGGCAGCTGCAGCTAGCTTGCAGTGCTGTGCTTTAATCCGCTGTGCCACTAGGGAGGGCCCTTTTTTGGGGGGTCAAATATTTTCATAGGATCAGAGAAAGTCAACCTGAAGAAAGCTTAGAAGAAAACAAAATATTATTTTTGTCTTTGTTCCATGTTCTGTGGAAGCTTCCTGTATGTATTTTTCTCTGAATGCCCAAAACCAGCTTCTGAGGTTGGCATCATTACACCCGTTTGCATTTGAACAGAGGATCAAAAGTAAGAAACACGAAATTTAGTGTGGGGTGAATGAATAGGAACCATAGGCCTGTGGTGGTGTGGCAGGTGAAAGGCAGGATTTGAGTTGGAACCCAGTTTCAAGTTCAGTCCTTCTATCTCCACCTTTGACATACAGAGGAGAAAGAAGGAAAAGAGAATGATCAGGTGGCAGAGCAAGGATTAGAAGCTGATGTGCCTTGCAGGCCAGTCTGTCCAATTGCTCACTCAGAGAGCCCCCAGACCTAGCTGGCTGAGAGGGCCCAGCCTTAGCTGTGTCCAGGCTCCTATGCAGAAGGAGCCAGGCCTGCCAAGCATAGCAGGACAGAGGGAGGGGCACAAATGACCTTAATCAGTGTGTTTATTGGCTCATAACTATATTAGCCTCACCACTCAGCTAATCTCATAGAAATCACTTTCCTTTCTCTGAGGCTCTGGCCACAGCTCCACTAAAAGCTGCTGGTCTCATACCTGCAAGGAAGCAGAAGTGGCAGGGGAGGAAGGAGAAGCAGTATTTCTGCTTCCTTATTACACTGACAGGGAAAATGGCCATTTCACACTCACTGTAAAAGAAAAGCTCCCAAAGGAAAGGGAATCCAAGGTTCACTGTCTTTTTTTGTAACATTCAGCTCTAAAAGAAAATGTTCCCTTTGTGCCTCCCGTTTTGAAAGCATTTGTGATGCTGTTGAAGATAAAACAGAAGGGAGGGACCTGGTGTTTGGGGAACTTACAGAGCGCCAGGTGCTTTCCACATGTTACTCGCTTTATTCCTCTGCAGACCTGCAAACGAGGCCTTGTTCACTTCCACAGATGAGTCCATGTCATGGATGAGGCCTCCACGTCAGTTGTCTGCCAGGCAGAGCTTCAAAATTGGGGTCTACTTTCTCCCTCCATCATACCCAAAAGTCAGGCAGGGATGGTTTCCTTGCGCATTACTTTGCTCCCTCCCTGACTCCAGCTTTGGGAAACTGGCCGGCAGGGCTGGTTATGATGTGACCTTGGCAATTTCCTTCCCTAAGTCTCAGGTTCCATCTGTGGAATAAGGCACTTGACTCAGTTCCGTACACCCTGTGGTATAAACTTTGATGATTTTATGATGTGTTTTTCTCCCAGGTAGCATGTTCTTACTTGATTGGAATCTCAACTTAGAGGGGATAGTGGAATGTGTGTCCATTCCAAAATGGATTCTCCCCCTCCTTTTTTTTTTTAATGAAGGAGGCTGAGATACAATGAGGGGTTCAAGGTCACAACATGAACAAAGAGAG